AGGGAGGCTTTAGAGTGGGTAGGGATGTGTTAAAAAGTTTTCCCTTGAAGCATATATGTGAACAGTATTTGAAAAAGGTAGGGAAGTTTTTTTTAATTGCTTTAAAATTGGTTAAAAAAGGGTCGGGAAAGAGTGGATGGGGAAGCAATTTTGGCAGATGTTGCAAATAAAAGGAAATAGGTTTAAGTTACAAAATGCTGTAAAGATTTTTGAAAATGACAAACAGTGGGGTTTCCGGGTTTGGGTTTGTGAAAGGAGGGAGGGTGATTTTCCCGGTATAAGGGGGGGTTTTAGACAGAGATTTTTAAATGTCCCCATGGTTGTTTAATATATTTATGGGATGGGGGTTTTTTGAAGGATGTAAATGCAAGGGTTTGGGGAGAGGGGTGGGATTAAATTAGGGGGAAACAAGTAAAAAAAGGGAGTTGCCCACAGTTATTTTTTGCTGATGATACGGTTATGGGAAAATTCAAAGGGAAAAGCTGAAAAGGTTAGGGGAAATGATTTTTAAAAAGTTGAAAAGGTAGAAAGTTGAAAGTGAACATAGAAAAGAGAAGGTGATGGGGGTATAAAAGGGGATTTAGAAAAAAAACCTGGTTTTATCAAAATTGGAGAGAGGGAGAAATGGAAGAAGTGAATTTTTTCAGATTTTTGGGAAATTGACGGTGTCAGCGGATGGGTTTTAAGGGATGGGTTAACCAAAAAAAATTTGAATAAAGGAAAAAAGGTTAGTGGAGCTTTGGGGTTTAAAAGTGGAGCCCAAAAAAACCCGTTTACCCTAGGGAAAGGCAAAGAAGAGAATGAAATAAAAATTTATTTTGGTACCAACACCCTTAATAGGTGTGAAGTTGGGTTGTGAATGCGCACGGGGGAGAGGGGTTGGGAAAAGCAGTGGAGATGTCCGCCCTAGGGAAAATGTGGGGGTGTAAATTTTAAATGCAAAAAATTTGGAGGTGGGAAATATGGAAAAGGTGTGGAGATAAAAAAAGTATAGTCGAGGGCTAAAAGGGGGGGGTTGTTGAGGGGGTTTGGCCCTTTTAGGGAAAAAATGGTTTAAAATATAATGACATTAAAAAGGGGAAAAAATCTGTGGGGAAAGGGAAAGGGGGTTTAGGCGTCCTTGAAAGGTTGGAGGGGGGGGGAAAAAGGTTTTGGGGCGAGGGGGGGAAATTTCCAGAAACCCCGTGGTGGGCGGTTAGATGGGGAGTAAAAGGAGATAAAACGGGTTTGGGGACCCGACGAGCTTTTGGGAGGTTAGCGGGGTTTAATTTTTTAGGGGAAGGGGGATTAAAGGGAAACATTAAATTTTTATATAGCCGGACTTGAGAACGGGGAAATGGGAATTTACAATCCCCTGCACTTTAAAGGGGGGATTTGGGGGAAAATTTTGGGCAGTTTTGGGGGGATATGTTAAATATTTTATAATTTTCCCTAAACGTTTTTTTTTGGGGGCCTCTGCAAAGACAGTGATTACATATGGGGTGAGGTGAAAGAAATTGAATTGTGAAAGGGTATTTTTTTTTTGGGGTTTTTTCTTTTTTTTTTGAGTTACCCCCCCTCAGGGGGAGAGGGGGGACTTTTTTAAAAAAAAATGTAAAAGTTGTTAAAAACACACACGTATTTTCCCATACATTTTTTAGGGGGTTTAACAAAAAAAATTAGGGGAAAAAGGATTAAAATATCAGATTGGAGGGAGAGAGAAAGGAGGGGGTTTAAACTATTCAGAAAATTTGGAGTGGACGTGTGGCCGGATGGGTCAATGAAAAAAGAGGGAATCATAAAATTTGAGAGGGGGAAAAAGAGTGAGTGGTGCACTTAGGAGTCTGTGGGGGCCCAAAGAACTTTGTCCTTGGGGCAAAGAGGGGAATGTATGAGAGTTTAGTTTTCCCAAACGTCTTATATGGGTGTGAACGTGGGGAGGGGGGGAAAGGGGGTTGGGGGCCCAAGCGGGGAAAAGGGGGAGGCAGTGGAGATGTCATGTCTAGGGCAATGGGGGTGGTGAAAAATAAGCGAAAATTCGTATTTTTGGAAAAATTTAGGGGGAGGTGGGGGTTTAAAACCAAAACTGTTTGTCCAGAGGGTTTGAGGAAGGTTTTTTGAGGGGGGGTTGGGACATGAAGAGAGAAAGGAGCGGAAACAGAATGACTTCAAGAGTGTATCAGCTGTAGTGGAAGGGAAAGGGGGGGGTGGGGGTGGGCCAAAAAAAAGGGGTTGGGGGGAGGGGGTAAAGGAGGTTTTGTGTGCGGGGGGGGGTTTTGGGACTTCCGCGGGCCCATCATGAGCGTTTTTGTTTAGGAGTAAATTTGGGGAGAAAAAATTGGTTTTTTTTTTTAATATTTGGAGTGCTTTTGGGAGTGTAGCAAAGTAAAATTTATAAAGGGATTCGGGGAAAACCCGGGCGGGGCCGGACTTGGGGTCCTGAGATGGGAAGTACAGTACCTGCCCTGAAGGAGGGGGTTAATGTTGCAGTTTAAAAACTTAGGGAAAACCCAACCCTTCTGGCAAGCAGTGAGGGAGTGAAGGGATGGGGGAAAGTTTTTTTTTTGGGGCCCCGCCTTTGGGGGGGGAATCGGCCCCCCCCTGTGATAAATAAATAAATAAATATAACTTATTATACTCTAGGTAGAGGTTGGTTTGACACCAAACCGCCCAGGGGGTATCCCGTCCTGGGCCAAATGAGTTTAAAACGAAAAACCTGTAAAATTTTTTTACATGAGGGGAGGATTGCTGGTGTACATTTTTCTGTCTCATAAACAGCACGGTTTTAGGTACATCTTTCCCACTTCCCACTTTTCACTTAGGCACACTTAAAACATACATTAACAAGCATAAATTTTACACACCCCTTTGGGGTTTTTTCTTTTTTCTTACTAGTTCTTGTTCTTTTTTTTTTCCTCTTACCTCCATGGGGAAAAAGGGGGAAAAGAATTTTTTCCTCCATAAGCCATTTGGGGTTGTAAGAGGCGGCTAAAAATTTCCAGGAGCAAGGGTAGTAACCCCTTCTCCTGTAATAATTTCCCATATGTAAAAGGGGAAAAAACTTTCGTTTTTTTTCCCTTTTTGGGGCCCCCCTCCCGGGGGGATAAAGCCCGTGTTTGAAATAAAAGGGCTTATTAACTACATACATATCTATAAATAATTTTCAACTGGGGGGGAAAATTTTTGATGATGTTTTATTTCCCAAATTGGGCCCTTAAAATAGTTTTAAAGGTATATTTGGGCCATTAATTAGTTAAAAGGTCCAAAAAAGGCCCAAAAAGGGTTTTCAAAAGTTTCTTTTTTTTCATGTGCGGGAAATTTTTTTTTACTGTGCCAGCAATTTTTATTGTTCTTTTTTTCTTGAATTTCAAAAAACCCAAAATTATTATTCAAGAATAAAGGTGTGGGGGGGGGGGTTTTTTGGGGGGGGGTTGGGGCCCGACAAAATGGTGCCAAAAGGGTCAGAAGCCCTTTCCCCCTCCCTTAAGTGACTGTGGGCCCGACACTAGGGCAAGGCATTTTGGGTTAAGCCGGTTGAAAAATTGGATTCCCGCCCCACATAGGCCCCGTAGGGCCCGTTCAGGGGTTCCTTCTTTCTTAGTTCTTACATGTAAAAGGGATACAGGCCTAGCTGAAAATCAAGACATACTGTATAGAAAGTTGGGTTGTTATGCAAGGGATTTCGGGGGAAAATTTGGGCATTTTTGTCCCAGGTGTGACCCAAAACCAAATCGACTAACAAACCCCGTTTTCCATTTTAAAACTGATGGGTTTAACATGGGCAGCAGGTTTTTCCCTTTAAAGGGAAAAACGTCCAAAAGTTTTTCCAGCCCTAAATGGGGGTTTTTTTTCTCTGGGGGGCCCCAGTGGGGTTAGCGGTGCACTAGCGACGAGCAAAATAAACACTTTCAAACCTGCCAATTTTAAATTCCCCAGGCAAGGGTTTAAAAAGTATCAAATTTTATACTTTGCTGTCAAAAATTCATTTGCAGTAAACTTTTGGGGTTTTTAGTCCCAAAAGTTTTTAATTTCATCCTGATGAGACAAAGGGTATTTCTGTAAAGGGCAATTACAAAAAAAAAAAAAAAAAATACTGAATAAACGCAGGGACAAGATAAAATAAAAAAAACTTTTCCAAAAATTTAAAATAAATTGTAGGTGAAAAAATTTTTTTGGAAAATTAAATTACAGTGCAATATCTAAAACAAAAATTTATCAAGGGCCTTATGCAGCATATAGCTTTAAACCCAGCATAAAAGTTTAAAAAACAAATATAAATTATTTTTACCCTGGGTTTAAAATTACAAAAGATAAGACCTTATTTGCCTCTTTAATTATATGACCTTGTTGCTGTCACAAAAGATAAGTAACTGATAAAATCATAACTGACAACAGTTACATACTCAATATGAAAATTTACTAATGTAATATGACAATATACAATACACACATATAGTATGTATATAATGGATTTAAAATTCACTAAAGGTGACAAATCAACTTTTATTTAATAAGAATTCTTCACTTATGTGAGAACAAAGATCTTTTGGTTCCAAATACAGTAACTAACAGTACTGTATTGTATTGTACTGCACTGCATGGTACAATACTGTACTCAGGTTAGAAAACAGACTCAACAAAAAATTTCAACTTATTCAAACATCAGCAAACTCCTATAGTGCTATGATTACACAACAAAAACATAAATTATTATTTTAATCAGGGTGAAGCACTGAACCTGTAAGAGCCAAGCAGTGCATAGGAAATGGGAGGCAATCAGATTTAATCCAAGGAAGGGGAGGATAGTTCTACCTTCTTGGATCAAGAGCCCCTCACTGGTATTATGTTTTTGTCCCTTAAGGGGACAAAAACATGAAGAAATGAGTTAAGATTTAGTGAAGAAACTCCATAAAATAAGTAGTGTTAATCAGAACATTTTGCATTCTTACAATACCTTATGATATGCAATATACGTACAATCTTCATTTTGTTAAATCCTCAATCCTTAATGTTAAACTTACCAAAACTAAGGAAGCACATGAATACAAGAGCAATAAATCTATATGCTCCATTATTAGGATTGCAGCAAGCTAATCCTCCACAACCTGTCAACACTTCAACTTCATCCTGTAATAAAGAAAAAAAAATTCTGTTTTAATAATGCTAACACACTGAGATGAGTTTTTGCAATATCTTTCCCAAAAGATATTGCAATAAACACATACTAAAGATACATATTATTAAATAATACCTTAATAAATACAAGCATACATACACAACTCAGACCATGATAAATGCATACGTATTTCATACCTTAATAAACTGCTTTATACAAATATATTAGCTTATATACTAGTAACTTTTAGTTTAATTTAAAATATATGTGGGGGCCTACTGCCAAAATTTAGCATCTAAAAACTAGAACACAAAACTTTAGTAATGTATTGCATAATGAAAATATCAGTAGGGGTTTGAATCAAATCCACTTGGGGAAATATGGCATATACACAAACCTATATGAAATTTATAAGCAAAGACAATTAACAGAGATACTATCACTACAAATGTCTGAGACTTACAAGATTAAAGATTTGTTACGGATTTATTTTAAACTCTAGAGAGGTATGCCAACACAGGCTAGAGCCAAAGAACGTCATTCATTGAGAACTGCTTTCATAACTTACTCTCATCCTTCTCCTTCTCATCTCCTCTCTTCTTCTTCTCTCTTCTACTCTCTTCTCATTCTCTAGTCTCTCACTCTCCTCTCTCTTCTGCTTCTCTCTCCTCTCACTCACTCACTTCTCTTCTCTCCACTGGGGTCCTTCAATTTTGTCCCCGCCAGAATGCAACCCAACACAGTCGCTAAACACTAATGACCTACTTAATGCTAGTGAAAAAGGGTCCAGCAGATGTTTACCTGATTTAACACTGGAGAGAGTTTCCGGGGGTCAACGCCACCCGCGGCCCGGTCTGTGGACCAGGCCTCCCAGGTGATCAGAGCCTGATCAAAACCAGCTGTAGCAGGCTGGCTGCACGCAAACTAACGACGAGCCACAGCTGATCAGGAACTGACTTTAAGGTGCTTCCAGTGGCATCATAAGACTGCCAAGGCCAGTTGTAATCCCCTTATGTGTGCTGGGGAGGCGAGTTTGAACAGTCTCGGGCCCCAGACACTTATTGTATGGCCTCTTAACGTGCTAGTGAACACCCCTGCTTTTCATTGGAGGATGGTGCATTGGCCTGCCAAGTCTTTTTGCTTTCGATGAAGTGATTTTCGTGTGCAAGTTCGTACTAGTTTCCCTCTAGATTTTCCAGGTGTATATAATCATGTATCCTCTCCCTGCCTGCGTTCCAGGAATACAGGTTTAGGAACCTCAAGCGCTCCCAGTAATTGAGGTGTTTTATCTCCGTTATCGCAGCCGAGAAGTTCTCTGTACATTTTCTAGTCGGCAATTTCACCTGCCCTTGAAAGGTGCTAGTTTAGTGTGCAGCAATATTCAGCCTAATAGAACAAGGACCTGAAGAGTGTCATCAGGGCTTGGCCTCCCTAGTTTTTGAAGGTTTCTCAATATCCACCTGTCCATTTTTCCTAGCATATGCAATTGATACAATGTTATGGTCCTTGAAGGTGAGATCCTCCGACATGATCACTCCCAGGTCTTTGAACGTTTGGTGTTTCGCTCTAATTTTTGTGGCAGAATTTGTTTTGTAACTCTGATGAAGATTTTAATATTCCTCCTCATGTTTGCCATATCGAGTAATTGAAATTTCTCATCGATGAACTTCAAAATTGTATTTCTGCAGCCCACTGAAAGATTTGGTTGATGTCCCCTTGGAAGCTTTGCAGTGTCGGCAATGGAAGACACTGTCATCAGATTCGGGTTTCTCTGCAAGGAAGACACGGTGCTGTGGCTGACATCCTTGTCAATGTCGTATATAGGATGAGGAACAAGAAGGGAGCGAGTACTGTTGCCTTGTGTAACAGAGCTTTTTCACCGAGCTGCCTCGGACTTTACTCTGTTACGACTACTCTCTGTGTTTTCTGTGTATAGATGAAATTTATAGATCCATCGACCGACCTTTTCCCTGTTATTTCCTTTAGCACGCATTTATGTGCGCTATTTACGGCCATGGTCACACTTTGTCCGAAGGCTTTTGGCAAGTCAGTATATAAAACATAACATCTGCATTCTTTTTGTCTTCTAGTGCATTAGGACCTTGTCGTTAGTGATCCAATAGTTGAGAACAAACAGGAGCGACCTGTTCTAAAAAAACCCATGTGCCTTGTGTTGTGTAACTGATGGGTTTCTAGATGGTGGTGAATCTTGCATCTTAGGACCCTTTCAAAGATTTTATGATAAGGGATGTTAGTGCCATTGGCTGTAGTTTCTTTGCTTGTTGCTTTACTGCCCCCTTTTGTGGATGGGGCTAATGTCCTGTTGTTTTAAGTAACTGTGGACGACCCCCGTGGTCCATGCACCTACTCCATAGATGGAAAAGGCTCGTGATAGGGGCTTCTTGCATTCTATGATGAACCAGAGTTTCCACGAGTCCTGGCCTGGGGCAGAGTGGCATGGGCATAGTCATTATATCGCCAGTCCGAAGTCATTTGGTGTCAGGATAACATCGGATAGGCCTGTGGTTAATCAAATTTTGTGGCATCTCCCTCATAAAAAAATTCACTTTGATCTTCGACTCCACATCTGGTTAGAGGCTTGCTAAAAACAGAGTCCCATATTGGGACTTGAGTAGCTCACTCATTTTCCTTGCTGTCACTGTGTAGGACTCCATCTTTATTAAGTATGTGACCAATACTGGACCGTTTATCTCGATTTTGATTTCATAGGAGAAGAAATACTTTGGGTATCTTTATTTCATTATGCTTTTTGTTCCTTCCCGCCCGCGATACCTGACTCCTAAAGGATTCGTTTAAGCATAAGTTCGATGCTTGCTATTTCTCGAACCAGTGTCTCCCTACGCATTACAATATAATTGACCTCTTTTAGGAAGGCCGCACTGTTATTCTTTTTCCATCGCCTGAAGGGGGCCGAGCCTGTCTCTTTCTAATTTAACCTCTTACTCTTCTTTTTCTTAAGGAATATGCCTTGTGCATACATCAAGTGCGCACCGAGTTAATCTGTTCTAAAGCATAAGTTGGGGTCTGTGTTGCCTTAGTATTCTTCCCAGCTTATATCGGGTTTAGGACTTGGTTTACTTGGTCCCACTTTAATGTTTTTGTTTTATTGAAGTGAATTTTTGTGAATGCTCCCCTCGTGACTAATCTCATTTTGTCGGTCTGGGCTCCGCGCATACATGTCTGAACCCTCAATTATTTGTGTTTCCTGAGTATATTGTTTTTGATATGGTGACATTTCTTATCAATCATCATTGTTAGTGAAGATGAGGTCTAGTGTATTCTCCCAGCCCTAGTAGGCTCTATTATTGCGGGTTTAAATTGAATTTTGTGCAGAGATTTAAAAGCTCGCGGGGAGTGTGAGTTTTCATCAGAGCTGCCTCCTGGTGTTATTACTGCAACATATTTTTTGCTATATTCCTCCATTTTAGGTGCCTTAAGTTGAAATCCCCAGGAGCAAGATGTTGGGTGCAGGAACTGGAAGATTTTCCAGACAGTGGTCAATTTTTAACAGCTGTTCCTGGAATTGCTGGGATGTTGCATCCGGAGGCTTGTAGACTACCACAATGACTAGGTTTTGGTTCTCGACCTTTACTGCTAAAACTTCCACTACATCATTTGAGGCTTTTAGCAGTTCTGTGCAAACAAGTGACTCGCAATGTACAGGCCAACCACCCCCTTTTGCCTGTTCACTCTGTCACATGTGCAATGTTTCCACCCGTTGGGGACTGAACCATGGACACGTGTGAGGCAAAAGTGTTGCCTACCATGTTAAAGCTCTTAAGTATGTGCAAATTCGCATTAATGTCATGTAGAAAAGAAAATTGTATGGTAAGAGTACTTTTAACATTTAACTTCATTTTAAGTCATGTACCTAAATGATCAGAAAAATTTGTGCCTTTTAATCTGTACACAATCTATTTTACTATTAGGTTTTGTTTGGAGTATTACCCTGGAGGGTTAGTAACACAGGATAACTCAAAGTCAATGAGTCATTGGGCTGTATGACCCTTGTAGGTTTTTAGCACTTCATTTTTTATTATAATAAAAATAATAATAATAATATAAGACACGCTCACCGAAGGCTAGTGGTTTTCCTACTGTGACTATCGATTTTTTATTTATACATGTAAAGTACATTATTTTTATACTACATAAGAAATAAAAATTTGTATTGGGGTACATTAATCTCCTCCCCCAGGATGCTAAACCCATAACAATGAACTAACATCCACGTACCTACCTACAGCTAAAAACTTACTGTTTTTTTAAAACCTAATATTATTGGTATATGAAGATTTATTACTTGCAAAAACACATATAATATAAAGTATCCACTGTAAAGGTAACTACCTGTTGAGTGTTCTCCTGCCCCAGGTTGTTCTCCACGCCAGTGTCTTCCCCAAAGGAAGGAGGTGTCGCCTGATATTCATCTTGAACGGAGGAGCTATCATGGGAGCTAATACTTTCTACCATCTTGCTGCAGATCTCGGATAATAATGATAGGAGGTATAAAGAGGTGGGTGGGAGTTTAGGTGTAGGCACGTGACGAGGTGCTCCTCCTCCCACAGTGTTCCTACTTATGGCTACCACTAAACCTTCACCTCTGGGCCCAAACCCCCCACCTAGAACTTGCTGATAAATCCTTATCGGTGTAATAATCAGTGTTATCTACATGCTACTGGCACCTTATCCTTTCTAAGGTCATCTTATATGACGGAACATGACAGCTAAGCCTTCCTCCTGATACTGTTGTTTGTTTTGTTGTTCGAGTGAGCTGTTAAGTAAGTAAGTAAGTAAGTAAGTTTATTCAGGTATACACAAATACAGTTACATAGAATTATCATACATAGCAGCATATGTGTAGAGAACCTAGGATAACCCAAAAAGTCAGACAGAGTGACTTATTTTTCCCTTGGGTCCTTTATTTCCATTGGATTAATGTTAATAATAATAATAATAATAATAATAATAATAAAATAATAATAATAATAAAAAAATAATAATAATAATAATAATAATATCTTAATTAACTTCATGTACAAGGTATAAAAAAAGTCCTAGTTTACATCAGTGGGCATACTACTATACAAAAAGCCGCTTGTTATGCTGACATTTCGGGCACATTAGGTCAATTTTGTCCCAGGATGCGACCCACATCAGTGACCAGTCGACTAGCCCCCCAGGTACCTATTTTACTGATGTGTGAACATAGACAACCAATGTAAGGGAAAAACGTCGACGTTTCCATCTCTTCGCCGAGAATCGAACCCGGACCCTCACCGTGTGAAGCGAGAGCTTTTGCCACCAGGCCACGGTGCACCGTGGCTCGTTAAGTACACATAAATACAGTTACATATTACCTGGAGTTTACCTGGAGAGAGTTTCGGGGGTCAACGCCCCCGCGGCCCGGTCTGTGACCAGGCCTCCTGGTGGATCAGCGCCTGATCAACCAGGCTGTTGCTGCTGGCTGCACGCAAACCAACGTACGAGCCACAGCCCGGCTGATCAGGAACTGACTTTAGGTGCTTGTCCAGTGCCAGCTTGAAGACTGCCAGGGGTCTGTTGGTAATCCCCCTTATGTGTGCTGGGAGGCAGTTGAACAGTCTCGGGCCCCTGACACTTATTGTATGGTCTCTTAACGTGCTAGTGACACCCCTGCTTTTCATTGGGGGGATGGTGCATCGTCTGCCAAGTCTTTTGCTTTCGTAGTGAGTGATTTTCGTGTGCAAGTTCGGTACTAGTCCCTCTAGGATTTTCCAGGTGTATATAATCATGTATCTCTCCCTCCTGCGTTCCAGGGAATACAGGTTTAGAAACCTCAAGCGCTCCCAGTAATTGAGGTGTTTTATCTCCGTTATGCGCGCCGTGAAAGTTCTCTGTACATTTTCTAGGTCAGCAATTTCACCTGCCTTGAAAGGTGCTGTTAGAGTGCAGCAATATTCCAGCCTAGATAGAACAAGTGACCTGAAGAGTGTCATCATGGGCTTGGCCTCCCTAGTTTTGAAGGTTCTCATTATCCATCCTGTCATTTTCTAGCAGATGCGATTGATACAATGTTATGGTCCTTGAAGGTGAGATCCTCCGACATAATCACTCCCAGGTCTTTGACGTTGGTGTTTCGCTCTATTTTGTGGCCAGAATTTGTTTTGTACTCTGATGAAGATTTAATTTCCTCATGTTTACCATATCTGAGTAATTGAAATTTCTCATCGTTGAACTTCATATTGTTTTCTGCAGCCCACTGAAAGATTTGGTTGATGTCCGCCTGGAGCCTTGCAGTGTCTGCAATGGAAGACACTGTCATGCAGATTCGGGTGTCATCTGCAAAGGAAGACACGGTGCTGTGGCTGACATCCTTGTCTATGTCGGATATGAGGATGAGGAACAGAGCTTTTCACCGTAGCTGCCTCGGACTTTACTCTGTTGACGACTACTCTCTGTGTTCTGTTAGTGAGGAAATTATAGATCCATCGACCGACTTTTCCTGTTATCCTTTAGCACGCATTTTGTGCGCTTTTTCGCCCTGGGGCACACTTGTCGAAG